CTAATTTTTTTGCAAGAGATTCTAATGGCTGCTCTTTCCTTCTAGATTAATTCTGCTACGATCTGTGAGGATGACTATGAAGTCACTATTACACTGAATTACGTTCTTGCTATTAACAAGGTCAGTTCTGGGGATGAGGCCTGTTGATAGGCAGCTGGTCTAAAACTGTCATTAAACCACTAAGTGTAATGCTGATATATTTTAAATTCAGGTTTAAACAAAAATTCTTTTATTCAGAAGATGTTAACTTTTTACTTTAGAGAAATAAAACCTTTTTTTTCCTCTATTGGAGCAGGATGAACAGGTATCTTTATCTGATTAAGCCAGACTTCATGATTATGTTGCTATCATCTTGCATTTTGTTAGTTTGCTATTAATATTAACATTTTTCTTTCATCTGATATTGTTTGATGATTCTAGCACCCCTAAGATCCTGCTTCTCTTCAGCCTGCAAATTGTGCTCTTAAGAAATAAGCTTAGTAATTTTCAATAGTTTGGAGATAATGTTTGTTGGAGCTCCTGTTAACTGTATTCAGAACCTGGAATCCCTATCTCCAGAATTACCATGTTCCAAAACCCACCCTCATTTCCAGCGTTTCAAACATGAAAATCTACTGTTTCAAAAATCCAAAATTCAGATTATATCTCTTTCATAGAAACTTAGCAAGCTTACCTTGCGATGTGGGGCCCGAAAAGGTATATCACATCATTTCAGAAGTGAGGAGTTAATCAGATCTCTCAAGTGGTAGAAACACTTTCATTTGGATGAGAATCTTCATTTCTTTAAGTAAGGTTGTATCACCTTTTTTTTTTTTCTAATTCAAAACAAATACCTATCACAAGGTTTAGAAAAAATTGCTACATAATTTTGCCTCAAAGCAGAGTTCAATCAGATCTGATAATGTCTTGTGGTAATTTGACAGTGATATTAAAAGCCTATATGCAAACTGCACTGTTTTGTGCCACAGCAAGATTATAACAGCAGTACATGATAATCTTATTAACTGCCTGCATTTGATGATTCTACAGGATATTCACACTAATAAACCAGTGAAGTTCAGCAATCATCACCTGAATACTGTAACAGAAGTCAGAGATGGGAAGGATAGGAGTCAGACCAGTTTTGGTGAGATTTTTTTCCCCTGTCCTTATAATAGGCCATAAATATAGCAGTCAGGAATACAGAAGTAATGCTTGGAAGCTTAGACACTGAGGTGGGTAAACTACTATATTGGCATATTCTGTGCCTGCTTAACTTGATCTTGAAGTTTCAGAATGTGTCCAAGCTGAGATTTAAGTAACATACAGACTCTGTCAAAAATTCATGTGAATCCTTCATCCCTAGAGAGCAGCTGAGACCAGTTAACTGCAGCCATAGCTTATAGCAGTTTTTTTTATTATAGCGATAAAACTTTAGATGGTTCCCATATTCTTTTACAATAGGAGCCATAAATATCAATATTATCTCTGCTTCTGAGCTGTGCCATGGACTTCAGCTTTGGCATATTTGGCAAAGACAAGAAATGATAAAATACATTAATTCTAGATCTAGTTTTCATAGACGATGTTTTTTAACTTGCGTCTCCCATTGGTGTCAGTAAGAGCTCAGCATTTTAGGCATCTCATATTGGATTTAGATTTTCATTAAATCGACTAGTTGTAAAGTCAGCATTAGAATTCAGAAATTGCTATAGAATCATTTGACATGCTTCAGTTCCCATATAAGTTTCATCCAGTTTGTGCTTCCAATCTGAAACTTGGCAAGAGGTAACCATGGCACTGGGAACTGTTTTTTTGGAGTGTTAATAATGTGACTGCGATTCCAGGCACTTGGATCATCCTCATGTGCTGCATAATTTCCTTATCAACCCTCCTGCACATTGGATAGATTATATCTCTTAAAAACAATGGCTATACATATCTACTCATGATCTTTTAGTCTTGTTCTTAAGTATTCGGAAATCAAACTGCTTTGAAAAATTATAAGGTTTTTGGACAAAACAATTCATGAATCTGAGTCAAAACTGTTGAATAGCTGCAGCTAGTTAGAAAAAAAACCACCAATCCAAACTCCACATTTCATTGAATCTTAATTTCAAAATAGCAGATTTTTCAGACTGCGTTAAGTGTAAAACTTTTGTTAAAACCAGTATGATCTGCAACAAATATTTCATCACTTTCTCATGTGGAAAACTGATAAATATTGCTTTAGTTGGGGATAAATTATTTCCAGACCTCTCCCACAAGTTCTAGTTAGGATACTGACTTTGCTTTGAATTAACACTTGCTTTCCTTTCTGGTAGGCAAAGATGATTGTAATCTTTACCATTCAAGAGGCAAAATAAAGAGAACAAAGTCAAGAACACTTACAGGACAAGAAGATAAGCTCTCTGTAAGTATCTTCTGCAAATACAGGAAAAAATATTTATAGAGCAGCACTAACATGAAGGAGGGTGTTCAAGGGTTAAAATAGAAGGACTTGAACCCTGACTAGGGGCAGGGGATAGAAGTCCAGCTTAACATAAAACCTGAACATTGGTAACTGACATTTATTACAGAACTGAAAGTAACTAATTTTTTTTCTTACTAAGAGCTTTATTAGATTGTTTCTCTCATGTTTGAACCTGTTGTATTTTACCAACACCTCTTTAGGCTCAAAGACTGTTGGAGACTGATTCTGTTACAGGTTTTTTTCAGAAGCAATATCAGATGAAGGCACTGTCATCTGCCCTTGACTTAACTATGTTTGACACTATCGAGGATGTACAGCTGGCTGTGCTAGAACTACTGCTGCTGGCAAAGTATGTCTATGAACTAGGCAGGAGAAGATGATCTACATAACAAGCTTTTAAGTCAACTCTGTTTTCCCATTAAGCTGAGATGTCAGCACAATTGAGGCCTAGTTTAATTCCAGAAGCAAGGCTTCACTTCCACTAGAGATCAAACTTCCTGAAAGAACAGCCTAGTAAATGGATTGTCAGTAATGACATGAAAAATTTCAAAAGGGAAATATACACTAATCTAAGCTTGGAACAGTTAGCCAGCCCAACAGGTGAGAAAGATACATAGCTCTGTGATAAGAGTCCAGAGATAAAAATGCTTGGAGAAGAAGGAGGTGGAAGCCTGTGAAGAAATTAAAGGTTTTACAGTTTGTTTGTTTGTTTAAGATTTAGTAAACCAACTTCTGTGAGACATACACATTTTTTAAATAAAATACTTCCACAAATTCTGGAAGCTTCAAATTTTAATCCTAAGTATATTTACTTTTACTGTGCTGAACAAATGTTTGTACAGCCCTGGAGAGCTGCACTGATGTAAAGCTAATCTTTTTCAGACACATTTGCTGAATCAAGACCTCAATAGTGAGGTATTAGCCTGGGTTACCAAACGCTTGCTCATATTCAAAAAGACATTCCCAAAAAAGAGTCATGGATTAGCAATAATGAGGCTCAGATACATTGCATTCAAGCCACTGTGTGCATTTTTCACCTTTACTCAAAGGCAGGATGTGGTCCAGCTACTTATGTGTTCACTATGTGAAATGTTAGTCTGTGTCTCCCCAGACAGAATCCAGACAACTACTGGATGAACTGGGTCCAAATGGGAAAGGAAGAATCACCTTTATAGAACAATTGCTCAATGAAGTAAGTTATTGCTTGCTGAAGTATCCCTTTTCAATTCTTTGACCACTTACTGAATAAATATTAGCTTGGTATGCTACTTCAGCAACTTCAGAGGTAACAATCTTGCAATAGTCTTCAGATTGAAAGAGCATTTTTGAGAAGATGTGGCCTATTTTACATTTATATATGTTCTCCCCAAATTTCTAGGGTGCATAAGGCATTCTTCTCAAAGCTTGTCAAGGCCAAACAGAAAGCAAAATATATTAGTTTTATAGTTTAGGGTCAAGTCTTCTGTATAGCAAAAGCAAGCATAATCTCTAAGTTTTTGCTGTGTTGTAGGGTAAGGTGCACCCTGACTGTGGCATCTAATTTGACTACTGTTACATACATTTACTCTGACTTTGAGCTAGGATATGACAAACATTTTCAGAAAAAACATGAAGAAGCAGAACAACACATTCTCTGATTTTCTCTGAACAAACATTTCTCTGTCGTTGAGCATAAAGCCCATTTTCCAACTTGAATTGGCATATTAAAGCGAGGTGGAAGTTGAAGAATCTGTAGTTTTTTTAACAGCTCACTTTCCCTGTGCTGTGCATTCTAGGGAGCTGACCCAAACTGCATCAATGATGAGGATCAACCTGCTCTCACAGTTGCTGTCCTTAATAAGCACACAGAAGCAATCTCCTTCCTTGTGCAGAGAGGTGCCGACATAGACCAGCAGTCGGGACTGTGAGTGAGCACTGATTCTCTGCCTTGGGTATTTTGAAGTTTTACCAAAAAAAAAAAGCACACATGCTCCAATTTTAAAACTAACCTCCCACCCCTCCCTTGACACAAATCTGTAGTTGAGGAGCTCCTTTCAAGGAGAATATCCACAGTCCTTTCAGTTGGCAGCTTTGAAGATTGCTGGTAACTGCTGTTACACTGTAACTGCTGTTCTATTTAGTTCCTTCCCCCATCCACTTAATATGCTCAACCTCACTAAAGCCTACCACACTTCTAGTGTATTCTGTATCATATTCATTTCCCTTAGTTTTATATGCTAAGACATGTACCGGCACTTTCCTTTGGTACTAAGTACATTGCTCTTTCCTCCTCTGCAGGCACAACAACACAGCTCTCCATGAGGCAGTTCTGCTTGGATCAGAGGGAGAGGAGTGCATCCGAGCCCTGTTATGGTATGTACTGTAGCTGGGTTTCTAGCTCAGCTGCAGGCTACCCACAGCCTGCCTGCCCAGACTTAATTGGCACTACTGAAGGGCCAGAGCCTGAGGCTCAGTGGTCTGCAGGAAGAGGCACCCAGAAATTCTGAAATTATTCCACATCAGCATTTACCTTCAAGCCACTTCACAAAGTCCAGTAACTTGCAATGAATTTAAGTATTTTAAAACAATTTGTTCTTTATTTACAGCTGCAATGCAAACACACAAAAGAAGAATGCAGAAGGGCAATTGGCATATGATTTGGCTGTTACAACTGGAAATAATGAGGTTATTTCATTGTTCCAAATAAGGTCAGACAGAGAACGCTGGACAAACTTATGAAACTTGGGAACGCTGGTCTCATCAACGTGCTATTACAACAACCTTTTTCCCAAAATAGAACTGGAGATTCTTTGACTTTGGGAGCACCTAATCATGTGCGTTCATTTCTGTCACAAAATTCACAACCCTGTACAATCCAATTGGGCCCTTTAACAGTAAAGTATTTTCTCCAAGATTCCCTTATTCCTTTCCAGCAGTTCGGAGCACAGTTCCTCACTGACTGCACTGTTTTGTAAATTTCCTTTCCAAACTTGGGCAAAGAAAGGGACAAACCAAACCTTCCCAGGCACAAATAAATTTGAATGTCTTTGAAATGTCTTTAACGCCTGATGAATGCTGCTTAAAAAAGTTTGACACTTGGGCAACAGCACTGCTGGCTGTAATTGATGATCTGATTTTCTTTTTTGATGTTAAAACTGCATTCAGTGCAGCCCACTGCATTAAAGGTCAGATTCCTTTCCTCGAGAAAATCGAGCAAAATGACTTTGCCGTTCTGCCTTCAACTTTTACCTATATGTGCATCAGCACAAGGCAGCAGCCAACTACAAATAAAAGTTTACAAGGATACAAGACACACTAAGATTGGGCATAATTCAATGTTATTAGCCACAATCCTCAATCCCTGAAGGATTTTTAAAAATCCTTCCCCTTTTCATGTCCCAAAATATCCAAAAGCATTGGTGTATTCAGTACAAAAATGGAAATGCTTGTCAATTCTTGCCAGAAATATGTTTTAGCACCTGGGCTACCAGGATCTCTACAATACAGCAATATCTCTAAACAGCTGGGTTTAAAAAATAAAAATAAAAAATAAGAGACCCAAGTAAACCTACAAGTAGCAATCTTTAATAAAACCAACAGGAAGATGAGGAGGAATCACTGCAGAAAAAGATGCAATATATCAAACCCCAGGTACTTCCTAGACAGACTCAGGTGAGCGAAGCAGAATCCAGTTTGCTTCTCAGAAACAGCCAGTCTGGAAGCAGCCTCGGGAAACACGGCCATTCAGTCACAGTGGCAGTGCCACAGTACAAGAAAGATGTCACTAGCAAGTGCGAAGCTGCAGCAGTCTAGGCCAGATTCTTTATTTTAGAACGTGTGCTCTTGGCTGCATCTTCAACCTCGGTCATCTTCTGAGAAATCTCTTTTTTCTGCAGAAAGTAAAAATAATACGTTACTGTCTACCACTAAACAGAGTATTATCGAGCTTCAAGGGGAACTCAGGCTACATCTCGCATAGAGCAGAGACTGAGAGCCAGGAATGGGCACACCATCCAGCCCCAGTCTGGAAGCAACAAAGCACTTCCGCAGCGCTGCGGTAAGGAACAAGGAGTCCAGCTAAACAATCCCAAGGCTAGAAACTAAGTAACTCTTCCAAAATCACGGGGGGGTTGGAGACACATTATGGTCTCTGTGTACGTACAATGGACTTTATTATTCGCATTTTGTCCAGCTTAAGGAACTCCTGTAGTGTCAGGTTAGCAGGCTCTTTCTGAAGGGAAAGAAAACCACAGGCCGCAGAGTGCTTTTTGTGTTCCTCCCTGAAAAGAGGGGGGAGAAAAAAAGCGAAAATAGATGACAATAGCTCCCAACAAGCCACACGCAGTTGTTCTCCCCCGCCGAGCACCTCGGCTGACAGCAAAGGTTCCCGCTGCCAGAGCGGAGCCGCCATCGGGAGCGGCGCCCGTCAGGGAGGGGGCCAGGGAAACCAGCCTGTACTCACAGGGGGTCGTCATCGGGCTCCCAGCCCTCCAGCTCCTTGAGACAGAAGAAGCACTGCGCCACGTCGGGGCTGTTCTCGCTGGGGCAGTGCACGAAACCCGCCGCCGCCATCTGCGGGCACAAGGAGGGCAGGAAGGTCCCCTCAGCGCCCGCCCGGCCCCGCTCCCTCGGCCCCGCGCCCCCGCTCCCGGCTCACCCGCTCGGGCGTACAGGCGCAGCCCTCGGTGAAAGGCCAGTTGCGGAAGGTGGCGACTCGGGAGGAGACGAGGTACAGCCGCCACTCCTCGGGCAGCACGGCCGGACCCGCCATGTCCCCTTTCGAACGGCGGCGGGCGCGGGGCAGGACGGGAGGGGGCGGTTCTGCCTCGGAGATCCCGAGAGGAGGGCGTGAGCCAGGAGGAGGAGAGGAGGAGAAGTTTGCCAGATCGACCTTTTTTTTTTTTTTTTTTTTTTAATTACACCCCTAGGAAGGTGCTGCCATGGGTTTCTGTGCTGACAGAGCTGGTAGAGAAGCACAGCAGGATTGCTCTTGCCTTCTGTTGAGGCAAAACCCGTTCAGGGATGCTCCCGCTGCTCCGCGACAATGGCTGCTTATTCCTGCCCCAGGCCGCCGCCCTTCCACCCCCGCAGGCAGCGGGAGCGGCTGAGCTCACTGTCCCTGCCTGGGTGACGCTGCCTGGAAGAGAAAGTGGGACGGAGCACTCTTGTCTCGCTGGTTTTGCAGGGACGACGTGGCTACTCATCCGTCACAGCAGCGGAATTCAGATTCCTGCGCTGTCTGATGCAGCGGGCAGTGTCTCCTCTAGGAAGAACGCAAGGGTTAGAAGGAAGCAACTCTGCGGACCAGGTTGCCAGGGACAAGTGATAAAAATGGCTTAGCTCGACCACTCACTAAGAGCTTATCATCACAAGCAGGCAGGTCTGCAAAGCAACACATCTTCACACGATGGGTGGCAATGAATGGGCCAAGCACTTTTGTTTCAGCCCCCAGGCTGGATCTGAAATCTGAAAAGAAGCATTTGACTCCTGTGCAGCATCAGGACTCTCAGGAGTTCTCTTTCAAAGCAAGCTGCAAAGTATTACTTCTACAAAATTAAGGACTAATGTGCAGAATGATCTGAGTATTTACCCAGCTCAGGTACAGCAGATGAACAGGCACAAGAAGGTGACTACAGTGGGCTGCTTCCTGGTCGTGAAGTATCGAAGCTCAGACAAGGCCATGGGAATGCTTGGGCTTTTCTGCCCTTTTCAGAAGGTGGGGTTCCACCTTTATCCTCCAGGAAAACTTTGTTCCATTAAACTGAGCTGGGTTTGGCAGTTCTAATCACTGCTACAGTCACTGCACAGCTCAGGGAAGCGTGGAGTAATCGTGTCGTAAAACAGGGTGGATGCTGGCTCTAATCACAGCTAAGGCAACCAATCACCCTGGTTTCCAAGGCACAAAGAGGGAAGCAGAGGGCTAAGAGCCTCATCCCTTGCAGAGAAAGCCATGGCTATTCAAGCAGTGGCCTTTAAACTTCTCATTATTCAACACTATGGGGAGGAAACGTTACCTTGAGAGGATGCTGGAAGTGATCCCTATGCAGCCACAAAAGAGAGATCAATCTGCAGCAGCTGTTTTATAGCTATTTCAAAGACTGCCAAATTCTGGTGCTGACCTAGTGAAGAAAAGTAGAGCAGCCCTGGTGCCTTTCCCCCAGACTGCACATCTGACTTCACAGAGTGCCTGTCAGGATGCTGGCCTCAGCCTCCTGTCCTTCGGAGACTCTTGCTGAAATTGGGGGTGAATTCCTGCTCACCCAACAGTGCCTCTGTGCTCACCCCTACAGCCAGAAGAATACAAGCAAATGTTTCCTACAAACAGCTTGAGTTGGCAGGAGAAAATAATACACAGATACTGCAGTTTTCACCACTGTCCTTCAGAGCTGGTTTGCTGTGATCTCTTTGCAAGTCAGGAAGTTCTTTGGTCATGGCTGTTTACCTTTACCCAAACCATCAGTGAAGTGATGCTTGAGTCAGCCACACTTGTACCCACCAAAGCCATTAGGATCATCAGGGAAGGATCCCAAAGTAAGCAACTCAAAGGCACACTACATTTTCACAGGCAGCACGAATGAACAGGGTGTACAGTATACAAAAGCACAGAAGATAAAACTAAGGGATCAAAACTTAAACTTACAGTCCTGAGAGTGTTGGATATAAGTACAGCTGTTAACTGGCTAATTTTCCCAGAAATATGGGCAAATTAGCAAGAAACAAGGAAAATAGCAATACTGATCTCATTCCCTGTAAGCTTTACTGAGCTTATTCTTACCAGTCTTCCTGAAAAACAGCTGAGGTGCAAAGGCTCAAAGGCATTTAATCACTTCATTGCCTTTGAGGATCTGTGAGTAAATGAAGCACCTGGATAAGACAAGCTGTCAGCAGCACAGCAGGCATCCCAGGTCTGTTATTAAACTCTCTTCCCTTGGCATTGTCCCTTTGAGACATAAGAGAAAAGCACAAAGCAAGCAGGTCCTCAAAAATCTTCATGGTCACCTTTGAGAATGCAATGCAGAACTGGTCATCTTCTTCAGACCATCTCATATCTCCCAATTCTGGCTGGAAAGGAACAGCCTGCTAAGGCCTGCATGTGTGTGGCTTCTGTGCGGGTGTCAAGTGCTTGCTTGGTCAGCTGCCCACACACACATCCTCTGCCATATTTGAGTTTGCTACATTTCAGTGAAATATGATGGAGAGACAGCTTAACAAACAGTACAACTACAGGTAGGCTTTTCCAAGGGAAGGGCTTTAATTCATTCATAAAGACAGGTATTTTTTTTCTTTCCAAGTACAGCTAACTCGTAACATCAATAACATCAAAAATTTTCATGTAGTCACAGAGCAGGCAGAAATGCGCATGAATGTTGGGGCACACAACCCTTGGATGGCCCGTTTTTCCCTCCCACTACCACTGTTTTTGTGTTGGTTATGATGTACATTGGCTACACAAAAAACATACTTTGTGTCCCTTTCTCTTCTGTTACCAAAATGAAGACTCTGTTAAGGCAACTTCTAATATGGCCATGTAGCCAACAGGTACACACAGTGGATTAAGAACAAAGAAGAAACATTTGGTGTGTCGTTCTTTGTGGGCCTGATGTGAAAGGAACATCACAGTGGATGGGATCTGTAGTTAAAATGCACAGACTGACCTTTAGTCAGTGATGCTTTCTGTTCATCAGCAGTGAAAGTCAGGGAGAGAGAAGCCACTAAACTGCTTCTCTCTAAAGGAGAAGAGCCCACCACCAGAGAAACCATTAAAGGTTTGATTTTTCTTTAGTTCTAGGTTATTTCTATTTATTCTTTGCTCTCCTTTTTACTTAGAACCATGAAATGACAGCCTAGGTGCTTCCAAGAACTGGATCTGGTCTACCTTTACCTTCTCCTCCCCCCAGGCTGCAAGCAGATTGCTTCTACAAATCAGCCTGCATTTCAAACATCACCACTGACTTTTCTGAATTTCTTCTATCCAGAGTGCCTGTGGTAGAAGGAGGTGGATGCTGGAGCCTGCAAGGCTGGCTCTATGGTTAGAGGTGTGCCAACAACTGTGCCAGCATCAACAACCGGCAGAGAGGTTGAAAGATTTCAAAGGGCTGATTTGCCGGGTATGGTGTCCTATCTTGCCTAGATACAAACCCACATGACACTCTGTTCCTGAACACAAAATACTGTGCACTGCAAGGACTTCACACTGAGCACAGGGTCAACAAGGGGAAAGGAAGGCAGCAGGGAAGGAGCAGAAGAAAGGTGAGCCTTCTATTTGGAATCACATGAATTCACACACTCTTTACTATTCCTAAAACATGGTTCCAGTACTACTGTTTTGGCACACGTAGAGCTTTCTTAAAGTTAGTGTCAGCTACATGTACAAGTATCTCATTTCTCTTCATAGATTCAAGACATGGTTCCTAGCAAATTGAATGATTTAAGTTTAGAGGTTCATTTTTGTTCATAAACAAAATAAGAAATTAAAAACCTGCAGCATTTTTTGGACAGGTTTCAAAATTTGAAATCCATGGGGCTCCTCTGAAGTGACAAATATTTTTTTGGTTGTTTGTCAATGAGGCTCTTCAAAGTAACAGTGCCAGGAAAATTCCCCATAAAGAATTTTGGCCTTCCAGTGGTTTCAGTGTATCCCAAACGGCAGCTTCCGGCCTCTGCCCTTGGAGCACAGGAATCAATCCTCTTGGATTGCAGTTTCAGCACACAACATAGCACTGTTGAAATCCAAAGTCCTAGGGATAAACACACTGGTCTGTTCCAGCTCTCATGTGACAGCGAACATCCTCCACGGAAAGCTGTGGTGGTTTCTTTGACAGATTGGGCTTTTCGGAGATCCCCAGACAGCTCTGACAGATTAGCGGCGCAACCTGAGAAAGAATGCGTGCTTACACTCCTTGCTGTCCAAGGGGTAATATTTGTCATAAAAATCCAAAACATATTCCTCAGTTTTAAATCCAAACTTCTGGTAGAGCAGCATAGCAGGGTTGCTTGCAGAGACGTGAAGAGTTACGTCTTTGCCCATGCAGGTCTGCCAAGGGAAGGAAAAAAGAAGATATCACGGTGAGAGAATGAGACAGCCTCTAGGGGAATGAGGAGGTGAGGAGATTCATCAGTTCAGGTATTCAAGTTACTGAGGAAATGTGAGAAAAACTGGAGGCCCAGACTCAGAAATTACCACATATATCAAGAGCAAAGGCAAAGGGAACGCTGCTGTTCCTCCAAGCCTTTGTTTCTGGGAAACATGGACTCTCTGACAATGAAAGCAGGTTTGGGATTATAATTTGTCATCTTTCTATTGTCAATTACTAAAGTAATTGTTAATTAAAAATAATCTCAGTGTACAGCACTGATCTCAGATACTTAACAACGGCCTGAAGAAAAGACAAAACATTCCAGAGGATCAGGCACCTTCTTGCTGCACTCCTCCCCATCAGCAAACAGAGCTGAGCTCTCTGTGACCACTGAAGCAGCCCTAGGGCACCTCTGGGCTGTCACACTGGAATTCCTGTCTATCCCACCCAGCTCCTCTCCCATCCTTCAGGGCACAGCACTCTACCTACTGAGAAGGCAGGAATCCAGTTCAGACAGCAAATAGCACAGCTGAAGTTACCTTAAAGATCCCAAATTATTTTAACCAGTAACACTGATAAACATGCTGAAGTAATTTTCTTCTGCTTTCATCAAGTATTCTATGTATTTTGAATGTATTGTAACTGTAAGTGGGAACAGTAAAATCCTTTAGAGAATTTCCAAGGCAGAACATTCAAAGGTAAAGCTCTCACAGGGGATTTAAGGAGGGAAGGAAAAAAAGAAATAATTTGAAGCAGGTTTTTGGGGAAAAGGAAGTTTGGATGAGATCATTAAGAAAATGCAGTTTGCTCCTCTGGGCCAGATGCATTAGAGGGTAACTTCTGAGAGCAAACCAGTCACCACCATTTGCATCAAAACATTTCCTGTTAAGTTATGCTTTTCTCAAGAATTAATCTGAACAGCGCATGAAAGCGTCTCTAGCTATAGAGAGTAGACCCCAAGCAGGCTGTGAAGCAGCACCTGCAATCTGCTGATTGAAGAACAGGTCACAGCCACCATTTAATCTCCTACATGGCTAAATGCCTTCTATCACTGACAAAATGTCAGCAATGGAAAAATACATCTAACGCGAGCCAAACATACAGTGATGATCTCTCATTGCTAGTGAGCCAAATCAGCCTCAAATCTGCTTGGCTTTCCTGAACACGGTCATTTTATGCTAGTCTACCTGCAAGCAGGATTAGGTTAATTTGCTGTGATACTTCCTACAAAAAAGGTGTAAGGATTTTCTATAGCTGACTTGCCAATGCATTCCAACTCTGCTGGAGAGACAGTCCACCTGCTGGATCCCTGCAAACCTCGGCACATCCCACCTGTTCTCACTGGGTATTGACATCTCACATCAACAGACTACAGCTGAGAGCAATCTACATCAACACAGAGATGCTTGGGAAATGCAAGGAGTGAATTTAAAGTATATTGGTTAGTGGCCTGTGTCAACACATAGGGAAAAGAGGTGGACACTGCAGGGAGCTATGCAGGTAGAAGAGTTACCCTTGGATGGTCCAGAGGAGCTACCCTCAGTGAAAACTGCTTTTCCAAAGCATAGATCACTGTTCCTAAGGCTCTGCTAGCACTCCCTACCTTTCTTTAGCCAAATAAATAAGAGAAAAACCATTTTCAATGATGAGTTTTGTTAGTGCAGCTCATCTTGACTAAAACAGGTTAAGAAGTGTTTCCCATCGGCAGCTCTGCCATGAGAGTTCACAGGGAGTGGTAAAACTGTGGGTCTTCAAGAGGCACAGTTGGGCTATGTAAAGGATATATATCTGCATCCTTACTCAAAATTAAGCTGGCTTTCCTGCAGTTTAATTCAAGAAAGTAAATGGAATTAAGGCCATTTGAATAACAGTACTGATTCAGAAATACTTTAATTATTTAATTAATTAAATTATTTAATTTTATTACATTTCATTTATTCATATTATTTAGTTAGCTCAGATTCATTTTCCCAAATGTTCCTATGCAAGAAGGCCCAGTTTGAACAAGCTAGTTTGAACAAAGTGAAGGAGGTTGCACACACCTTTTATTTTCAACTCAGCTGTATTTGAACCAAAGTATTAAAAGTCAAAGTGAATTATTAAGATCAGTAATTGATTTAATGCAACAGCCCTGGTCATGGAATAAACCTTCAAGTGTAGCCAAAAAAGCTGCAATAGATTCTAACTGAACCTACCCACTATTATCTAATTTTCTCCTTTAAACCCCACATTTACAGTATTACTTTTAAGTGAACTATTGACCATTGAAGAACATCAAGATAGTCCCAAGCCAAAGTGTACAGCATCTTGCTAATTCCGAAGACCTGACCAGAATGGCTGTTCCTCTAAATACATTTTAGCTTCTGCTGTGGAAGTTATTTCCCTCCATAAATATTCATGCTGGCGCTGACAATCCGTGCGAGAGAGTGTAAGCAGAAAAAGAGCAAGGTGAAAGAGCCAGAAGGGAAGAACACAACACTACTTACTCTCTAATATTTGCATGTGTGCACACAAGGAAGAAGGGAGAGCTAGTTCTTCGGAAGAGTCATGGGACTGTTTGATTACCTGGATAAGATGGTAAATCATGAAGGTTGCAATTCCAGCTCTTCTCCACTCAGGGTGAACAAACAGAAAAGAGATGTAAGCTTCGTTGTACTTTACATCTGGCACCATAAAGCCAAAGGCGATGATAACTTTCTTGTAAAGGACAACAACACTGAAGTCTGGATACTGCAGGCATTCTGACAGATCTATTCCTATGGAGAAAGGGACAAACAGCAGTTGAAAACACTGCAAACCACTTGCATGGAAATTCCAGGGTTTAAGGATTTTCAGAAACACTCACTTGATCCCTTCCTTTTACCTTTATTTCAAAGCTCTGATATAAAGAGATCACAGAATCATAGAATGGTTGGCATTGGAAGGGACCTCTGGAGATCATCTGGTCCAAAGATCCTGCTAGAACAGTCCTCCACTACTATAAATTATGCAGTCAAATTTCCCGCATTTTGGGAAATCACAGGGTTCAGGACACCCAGAGTGCAGGGGATGAACCTTGCCTTGGGAAAACCAGCTGCCTGAACATGATGTCTCCCCTGTTAGGTAAGTATGTAAGGTAAAAGGAGATGATTCAAAAAAATGGAGGCAAAATAAGATCTGATTACCAGCAGTGAATCTTGCATGGAGAAAGTAACAAAGCTAATTTCCTTTCAAATGACTTAAGGATGAAACTAAAACTTAAAACTTAAAACTTGCTCTCTTTGGAGGCAGCACACATGAAACTGGGCTTCATTTTTCATAGCATTACCTGACTATGGTTCCTATCTCTTTTCTCCACCTTGCCTTGAGCTCCTACTGCTTCCTCTTGTACATACTTAGCTGTTTGTGGAGCTGCACTGTGAACCTGACCACAGCTTTCAAGGCTATCAAAACATTTGCTTTTAGCATGCAAATTCTCTAATCTGAGGCAGGAAGCAGCCTCTCAGGCAGTGGTGTTTCTGTGACACAAACACGCACACGCGAGGCTGGTGACTTCAGAGTGGAGTTTGTTACCTTGCCTAATCACACCGCTGCTGCAGTCCTGGAGCATCCACACAGCACATTAGCATCAAGCACTACAGTTCAAGACACTGAAGACTGACTGCTTGGTAATTTGAGTGGACGGACCCTAAACAAGATGCAAGACATAGTGGAGATGTGCCAAAAATAGTTTGAGCCTCAGGCTGGCAATTGCAAATATACTTGGAATGTGGGGTAACAAAATAGCAGGGTATGTTTTCCAGTAACCACTCTTGATGAGATACAAGACTTCATAAGGCACCAGGCACAAATAAGTGGGTGAATTACTGTCTTGCTTGATAGTACGCTGGGTGGAGCAAGACGTGGGAGGAATTGATTGGCAATAGGGAACTGTGTTAATTATTTCAAGGCTGCAGTTGCCTGAGGAGTGCCTTACAGCGTGTCTGTACAGGAACGCTACCTTGCCTTGAGCACTGGCACCTATGAAATGGTGCTGTCCCCTCAGCACACAGTTATTCCCACAGGAAGATGCTTAGCTCGCGATGGTTTACCACTTGTCTACTTGGGAGATGTTTCCCATTAGGGCATGAAGGCACAAGATACTGTGAGAGACAACGTGGGGGAATCTTGCTTTGCAACAACTTGTTTGCGGTTACTACCTGCAAACTTGTTTCTGCCTTGTGAGAAGCAAAAAGAGCTCTGACTTGAATGATTTGGAGGGGTAGAACTAAAGCCTGGGCTCACCCCACATGGTGAAACACCTAGATCTTATGAATTCAGTCAAGGAGAGCATTGTTATCAGGCAACTTAGCACACCTAAGATGTCATTCACTGATGATCCCTGGAGCCCACATGCTCCCGATGCCTAAACTTAGGCAGAATTACAGGTATTTCTCTAAACAACAGCGCTATTTTACTGAGGCTCACCCAGCTGCATATCTCCACCTGCCCCCCAGGTTGTACCAGCCCATTGGAAAGCTAAACCTTTTGCAACCACAAAGACACTGGGCTTAACTCCTGAAGCAGCAACTCCTCACTTACCTCTCTTGCTAAAAGAGAACTAAGATGCAATAATCATATCACAGCCTCAGAAATTCTTCACCGTGGAAGAGATTTTGATTCCTGTTTGGAGACTGATGGGAGTGTCAGCTTTCTGATTTAATGATGAGCAGTTCACAGTCACCCACGCTCCTTATGTTAAATAAAACTGGGTGAGACCTGAAGAACTTAATGAAGGTGCAACGCAACTTGGCCAGAACTTCAAATGCACTATCAGGAGAGGAGAGACTATGACAAAGAGGTTCAGTCTCTGTTGGGATTGCAAGTATTTCTCATGAGCTCTGAAAGAGCTTGTGAAAAGAAAGGTGTGCAAGGCCCTGAATTGTACAGTTTGGACACTGAGTAGCACAAAAAGCTATGATCCTGACTGCAGTACATGAGCACTGCTGAACTACGAACCCTGCTGAATCACTATGTGCAAATCAAAACATAAAGAGAGCAGCTACTTGGAATAAAGATGTGTACTGTTTGTACTGGGCCTTTCCAAATTAGTCTGCTGCATTATTTGCTGAGCAGAAGCTGTTCCATGCAGTATTATTTCAGAAGAACTAAAGACTGCAGCCTCATGACAGCCCCCATAAAGGGCAGCCACTGTCCCTGGAGAGCCTACAGTTCAAGAAATGGCACATAAAAATTCAAACACAGTACATCCTGAGGCTTGAGGAAATAAAGGAAACCACAGCAGAGTCTGCAGTTGTAAATGTAATTCACAGAAGCACAGAATACCCTGAGTTGGAAGGGACCCACAAGGATTATCAAGTCCAACTCCTGGCCCTGCTCAGGACAACCCCAAGAGTCACACCACGTGGCTGAGAGCATTGTCCAAATGCTTCTTGAACTCTGTCAGGCTTGGTGCTGTGACCACTTCCCTGGGGAGCCTGTTCAGTGCCCAACCACCCTCTGGGTGAAGGAGCTTTTCCTAATATCCAACATAAACCTCCCCTGACTCAGCTTCATGCCATTCCCTCAGGTCCTGTCACTGGCCACCAGAGGGAAGAGATCAGTGCCTGCCCCTCCAGCTTCCTCTTGTGAGAAAGCTATAGACCACGATGAGGTCTCTCCTTAGTCTCCTCCAGGCTGAACAAACCAAGTGACCTCACCCACTCCTCATATGGCTTTCCAACTTTCATTCCAACATTTCCAGCTTATGGCTGCTAGGAAGAAACTTTCTCATGAAGCTAATGAGCAGTAAAACTGTTCACTTCAGGCCCTGATTCTGAAAAATGTTTCACTGGATCCTTAAATTTAGTTAACTCCTAAACTACTTCTATTGGCACCTATTTCTGTAAGTGCTGTGCTAATTGGGGCCTAATTGCCCAGTTCTACTTGATTTCAAGACACAAAGACACCAAACCCATGTCCCCATCTCAAATGCATTCCTGTGACATCAGATAATGGTTTTCTAAGAACCGAGCCAGAACCAACTGAAGAAAAATTTGACCCAAGGATGTTTTTTTCTGAACAAAACCACTTCCTTCTTGGAAAACTAAGCACTGAAGGAATCTTACCAGGCCAGAAGAATTCATGGCACATGGAGTTTATAGTGGGGATGTGATTAGGGCGAACATAGCAGTAATCAATGGGTGCTTCTGGCTCAGCCTTCCAGTTGAGATCATTCCTGTGTGGATATGCCTGGATTTCTGCCAGCAGCCTGAGTTTTGGGGGCTTTGTCTCATAATCACGCCTGCCAGGAAGATAAAAAGCAAACACAAAAAGTGAGTGAGCAACAGTAACTGCCACTGCAACTGAATGGGTACTGACCACAAAATATTTTCTGACATGCTCAGTTTCAAAAAAAAGAGCAGTCTTCCATTCATGTGGGAAAACACCACCTAGCTCAGGGAAAACACCCTTGTGTCAGAGGCCAGGACACTTCCCAGATCCACAGCATGCCCGGCAGCCAGCTTCTCCTTACAGCAGGAGCAAGGAAATCATAGTTCTGACACAAGAGCAGGAGCAACTTGCACTGAATGACTACAGCAATTCTGTCCCTGCCCTGCTCTCTCTTGGAGATTACCCTTCCCAGTGTAATCAGTTTAACTATTCAGCTAAGTACAACTATCCTTTCGGGTTACCATAGTTACCATAGGGTTACTGGATTGTACTTTGAGGAGGTGCAGGGAGCACTGCCCAGGAAAGGCGTCTTCTCAGTAGGCTGTTGGAACACAAGCCAAGAGCAAACTCAACCTCTGATCATCTGTACCTGATGTAGGGTTTCAGGACACGGGATGTGTAAGGGCTAACAACACTGTGGTCTGTCAGCAGGTCTTCTGAGCCTACCAGTCGATACAGAAACTTTGTTGTCTGCTGTCGATATCCCTTCATGGCGGGCAGCATTGTCTATACATACAGAAAAATGCAGAACATTTCAGAGAGATTTAACACAGGGGAATTGTATCAGTGGATGCAGAATAAGGGCCTTTCATTGTGACAGGATGAACTGGACCATGATGGTCCCACCTCTGTGGACTCTGCTGTACACTCTTAGATTTAGTGCCCAAACCTATGAGCTGCCCTCATCAAAATGCTGGAAGTTTTGTCCCTCCTACATACTTTAAAGAGCATTCACCTGTTTGGGTACTTCCAGACCTCCACCATCAGCATTTGAGCAGGGCTGGAGTACAAATACATCAACATTTGTGGTGCTGACACCGACACTGATAAACATTTGTGCTGCACAAGCATGTCTCAAGAAGAAAGGGGCTTAGGATAGCATTGGTGAGGACACAGCCCCGAATCAAAATGAGTCTTGTTCACATAATCCTTTTTATTTTGGGAATCAAATAACCTCAATGTGACACTGCTGTCTGTAGCAAATGCTTTAGAATAACCAGTGCTCACTTAGATTTGGAAACACTCACCTGGTATCTATCCAAGATCCTGAAGTCCTGGCTAGTAGTTCTGTATGTTGCTTGCCCTACTGGGGACCTGGAAACACCTCCTTCTTTGGCTCCATAAATCCCATCAACCAAGAGCAGTGCAGCGTTCACAACTTGGTCCAAGTCAAAGAGTGGCAGTCCTCTTTCCCTCTTGGCCTGCCTGACTAACAGCTTGCGCCTCAGCCTCCGGGCCTCTGGGGTCATGCTCACAGCATTGGGACAGGCTTCCAGTCTCTTCAGCAGCAGTTTCTCCTCATAGATGCTAACAGAGGTATGCTTGGGAGCTCTAGGTTTAGCATCCTTCTCCAGCTGTGGTTTTCTTTTGTCTCGTCCTCTCACCTTCAACAACGTGTTTGACTCTTCAGGATCTTCACTGTCACCTTCCATCCGTTCTGTTTTTTCTTCCTCACTCTCCACCTCTTGCTTGATCTGCTCAGCTGTCTTCACTTTTTTTCTACTTGCTATCAGAGCGCCAGCACTGGTTGTCCCACTGGGAGGGGGCACATACTCTATTCCTGGATCTATGACTCCATCTCCTTCCATTTCCTCATCATCTGTTGAGCAGATCAAAATAATCCAGGGAGAAAAAAAAATTTAAACATCAAAGCTCCATTTCAAAAAATGTTATCACAGGACTCTTCTGCTAAGGAAAA